CAGGAGAATCACTTGAGTTCAGGGTAAGGCCCTAACTCTTAAAATAAAAATGGAGAATCCCACCTGGGGTAATAGAATCTACTGATGCATCCGGGGGTAGGGGGTGAGTCCATTGAGCTGGGTACCACACAGCCTGCTATGAGGCCCAGTCACACATGCACACACGCTGCATCCTTACAAGTACGTGAGTGGGTACATTGTCTAGCTCATCCTCCAGACCAGGAAACTGAGGCCCAAAGAGGAAGAGTGACTGTCCAGAGCCACAGAGCCCACGTTTGAAGTCAGGTTTATCTGGCTCTGAACTCTTTACCCGGCCACTCTTCCTGTACGCACTGTCTGAGTCTGCTCGGGCAGACCCAGGGCCTCCTCTGGGCTGGCCCTGGGAGGGTGGGGGCTACAGGCAGACCCAAGGCTCCGCTCCTAGAAGAATTGCTGGAAACGGCCTTCTATAAGTGGCTACTAGTACTCAGGGCCTCTTCACCGAAATCCCCCTTTCCCGACACCAACCACTGGGCTAACAATGGCATCTGAGGGACGGCTGGAACAAAAATAGCAGTTGGTCTCCCACCCACCCACTCGGGGAGAGAATGGAGTAGGCTCATGCTGGCAGGCCTGGGGGCAAGGCGCTGGCACATATGTCATCCTGGCTGGGCCTCTAGATGCCCAGGAGCGGAGCCCATCCTGGAAATGGGCAGCCCGGGCTGCGGGCGGGGGGCAGCCCCTTTCTTTACCTCTCAGGGGATGAAATCGGGAAGTCAGCGTGCGTGCTAATGGCCACCACTGTGAGTCAGGGTGGAGGGGAAGGGACCTGTTTACTGTGGAAACCCTGGCTGAGTTCTTCTGGTAACTATAGTCATCAGCTAGGTCCGGGAGTACGGAGCCCCTGGGAGGCCTGCTTTTCAGCCTTCCCATGTTCCCACAGTGCTCACTGTGACCCTGGCTGGTGACTGTCCTGTTTTGGGGCTCAGTTTCTCTTAGCCACCCCACCCCAGCCCTCTGTAGGAAAGGTCCTGGGGACTCCAGAGTGGCAGGTTTGCTTTGTGAATTCTGGACGAATTGCTGAGATTCGTCACAAGCATCCCAAAGTCCCAGCCTCTTGACCTCTGGTCCCCCGCAACATGCCCATGCTCTGACCTCTGCTTCCTTTTCTTTACTTCCTTTATCCAGAGCCCCTCCGGACCTTGGCTTCCAGCCCTTTCCTGCTCCCATTTCACAGATGAGAAAAGGGAGGCACTGAGGGCTATCATCAAGCAGCTGCAGGGTTGATGCCCAGGGCACTTTCCAGCGGCTGCAGCCCTCAGGCATCTCCCAGGGATGGCATCGTATGCACACGTCTCTCGTATAGTCTGCCATACTATTGGCCCATCTGTTTGCTGTGTGTGTATCTTGAAATCTCCCCTCCCGAGGAGCGTGGGTGGGGCTGGACGGGGCAGAAGAGGACAGAAAAGGACACCCGGGTTGCTGCTGGGCCGTCAAGGGCTGTGGGCTGCACTCAGACCTAGGCTGATGTGCCTGAGGCTGTTGATTCCACAGTCTCTCTGAGTGCCTCCTGTCCTGGGTCCTCTGCTTCCACATCTGTAAGCTGGGAGAATACCTGTGCCCGCTTTGGTCAGCCTGCATACGCTGTGTGTTCAGCACAGTGTAGCATGAATTCAACTGGACCGTGGCACATTACAGGCATGCAGTTTTACTGAGATGAAATCCACTGATTCAAAGTGTGTGGTCTAGCTGAAGTGACAAGGTGCAGGTTCAGTGAGAGCCCCTGTCTCAAAAGGAAACACAGACACATAATTGTGTAACTACCCTGTGTTGTTTGAGCTAACGGTATATAGCAAGCAGTCAGGGCGAGTAGGCTGGGACCAACACCAGGGTGGTCATGTGCTTCCCTCTAGTAAATGTCCTTTGTTCTTTCTTTTCTCTCTCTCTCTCTCTCTCTCTCTCTCTCTCTCTCTCTCTCTCTCTCTCTATATATATATATATATATATATATATATATACATATGGGAGGCAGATGTGGGTAGATCTCTGTGAATTCAAGGCCAGCCTAGTCTACTGTCCATACCAGCCAGGATTACATTATTGTTCAAATCATAGATGGTCTTTTAATAAGAAACCCAGAGCCAGATATCAGGGTGAATGTTTGTTTGTTTGTTTTTTGGTTTTTTGAGACAGGGTTTCTCTGTGTAACAGTCCTGGCTGTCCTGGAACTCGCTCTGTAGACCAGACTGGCCTCGAACTCACTGAGATCTGTGTGCCTCTGCTTCCCGAGTGCTGGGATTAAAGATGTGTGCTACCACTGCCCAGTTGGAGTCAAATTTTAAACCCATTAGTAAACGTTAACCTGGACTGGGGACACAGCTAAACGGCAGCATGCAGACTGGCTTTGCTTCCTCAGATGCAGGTTGTTTATTCTTCTTATTCACACGCTTGAAATGTATCTTTTTTCTACTATAAACTACTGTGAGAATACTTACGTTAGGATAAGAACCTAGAGGCTCTCAGGAGGGCTCAGTGGATAAAGGCATTTGCCACCAAGCTTGATGACCTGAGTTTGAGCCCTAAGTCCCACATAGTAGAAGGAGAAAACAGACTGCACAGAGGTGTCCTCTGACCTTTACATGTGCACACACACACACACACACACACACACACACAGAGTAAATAAATCAATCTAATTAGGCCGGGCGGTGGTGGCGCACGCCTTTAATCCCAGCACTCGGGAGGCAGAGCCAGGCGGATCTCTGTGAGTTCGAGGCCAGCCTGGGCTACCAAGTGAGTTCCAGGAAAGGCGCAAAGCTACACAGAGAAACCCTGTCTCGAAAAACCAAAAAAAAAAAAAAAAAAAAAAAAAAAAAAAAAAAAAAAAAAAAATCAATCTAATTAAAGAGGAAAGGCTAGCCTCGTGCTGGGAAACGGCTCAACCTGCACAAGCCTGAGCGCCCCGGTTTGGATCACTTGCACCCACCCCAAAGCCAGATGTGGCTGTGTCCCCTGTAACCCCAGTGCTGGGGAGTAGGGACAGCTGAGTCTCCAGGACTTGCTGGCCAACCAGTCTAACCAAAACTGCAAGTGCCAAGAGAGAGCCTGCCTGAAAAACTAAAATGGAAAATGGGAGAGAAATACACCTCAAATTGAACTCTGGCCTCTACATGTGCACACACGGGCAAGTGAGTCCATGCATGTGCGCATACACCCCACACACTAATAAGAAGGAAAGAAGGGGCCTGGAGAGATGGCTCAGTAGTTAGTGCACTGGCTGCTCTTCCGGAGGACCCAGGTTCAATACCCCATCATGACGCCTGTAACTCCAGTTCCAAGGGACCTGACGCCCTCTTCTGGCCTCCACAGGCACCAGGCATGCACATGATCGACAGCCATACAAATAGGCGAAACACACATACACATAAAATAAAATGATAATGACTTTTTTTAAAGAATTAAAATAAGAATTATAACCTAGAGAGAACACACATGACAAAAGCCACTCGTCACACACTGAAAATAAAGTGATATTATTTGCTCTTTCCTCCTGTTGTTTTAAAGAGTGAGCTTGAACAGGAGTGATTAACAGGGCCGTTTACTGAGTAGCGGAAATATCTCTGAGCAGATTTTTCCAGGGGCTGAAACGCTTGTCTCTGGCTTTGTGACATCAGTCGGGAAACAACGGGAGATGATTAGAAGCCAGACCCTAAAACTTTCCACTAATGTCTTGTAAACCAGGGCTCTCCTCTCTCATGGAGGAGACGCTGGAGTCGGCTGTGGGGCTGCGAGCTGGCACAGGAACTGCCAGAGGATTTCCATTGTCTTGGTTCTCCCAGACACCATGCGGCTTCTAAGGCACTGAGCTGGGCCCTCCTCTCCTGTTCCCCCCCCCCCCCCCCCCCCCCCCCCCCCCCCCCCCCCCCCCCCCCCCCCGCCACCCCAACCCCTGGGCTCAGAAGACACTCAGAAGAGTTTTGATCTGGCCATCTTTTCTTTCTTGACAGAGAGGTGTGACATTCCCAGCCTCCCATGTAATCATGAGCAAGCGACCTCACCTGTGACTGTTTCCTAATTTGTGAGATTTTAATGGTACCTACTTCTTAGGTTGTTTACGTGGGCTCCTGTATAAATGTAGGTGGAACCAGGGCCTGTGCGTGGGGTCTGTCACTGAGCCACACCTCCAGCTCTAGAACAATTGGGAATGCCTCAAAGTGAGCTGGCATCAGAGTGGGGACAGCCAGAGAAGAGAGGAGTCACTGCTCCCGTGCCCAGGACATTCTTTAGGTGCTCAGGCCTGGTCGGCAGCAGGTGCTCAACAGAAATCATCTTGAGTGATGTGATGGCATGTGCCTGAAATCCCAGCACTTGGGACACTGAGATAGGTAGGAAGAATAGAGAGTTCGAGGCCAGCCTAAGCACAAAGCAGTACCCTGTCAGGAGAAGGAGGTGGAGGAGGAAAGGAAGGGCCGGTCTTGCAGTTCTGACTGTTGGATGAGCTAAGAATCGTCTTAGTTTTTCCTCTTCTTGGGCTGGTTGGGAGCAATCTCTCTCATTCACTCAGTTTTTTAACTTACTCATTTGTTGTTGTTGTTTAATTTGTACGTATTCACTTATTGGGTCTGTGTGCTTGTGCGTGCTTGTGTGTGCTTGTGCATGCTTGTGTGTGCTTGTGTGTGCTTGTGTGTGCTTGTGTGTGCTTGTGCACGCTTGTGCCTGCTTGTGCCGCAGCACTGGTGTAGAGGTCACTGGATGGCTTGCAGGAGTCCGGTCTGTCCCCCCACCATGTGGGTTCTGGGGATTGAACTCAGGGTGTCAGGCTTGGTGGCCGCGCTCACTGAACCATCCCAACATATGTCGTCTAGGCATGTGAGAGGCCAGGTGCACACAGGTACCCGCCGGCTCAAGCCAAGTAGGGCCTGTGGAATGACTGTCAACCATAGGTGAATCATCCCTGCCCCACCCCACCCCCCACCCCCGCAAACCTGACTGATATATCTGTGTCCCTGACTCTTCCCCAGGTGTCACAGCTGGAGCTGACTCTTCAGGCATCCAAACAAAATGGCACTGGGACCCGAGAGGTGTTCCTGGTCCTTGTTTCCAACGAAACTGTCTTGGTGAAGCTCCAGGCCCCGGAAATCCCATTGCACCTGGCCCGCGTGAGTGTGTGACCCCTAACCCCAGGCCGGTTGTGGGAAACCCCTGCCTGATGTCCCTTTCTGTGAGCCAGGGGTTGATGTCCGGGTGGCCATGATTCAAAATGAGTTCCACAGCCCTGACTAGAACACCCAGGGATGAATGGGACCTGGAACAGGAGTCTGGACCAGGAGGTGGATGGATGCAGCAATTCGGGACAGCATAAAGGAAGGGTGGGGGGTAGCGACAGGACCAGAAGGTGGGCCCAGAGGAGGTGGAGGTGGGGAGTGGAAGGAAAGCCCCTCTCACAGATGGACACATAGACCAGCGTGGTAAAAGCTCCGTGGAAAATGCCCTCCCAAGTCCAGCCGCAAAGGCCCAGCTTCCCTTCCCAGAATGCCCTTAGCCAATCACTGAACGACACTTGAAGCTCTGAGGAGCTCTGGCCGGAAGACCTGCTGCTGCGGCCCAATTCCCTAACGTTGCCTCTTTTTACTTGATCACCACCCACAGGCCAGAAGCCTGTCTTGTGTCAGGCTGCAAGCCAGGAGACTGACAGAGGCCATGCTCTTTAGTCACCGCCCTAACCCTGTTTTACTGAGGTTAAAGCCTGCAGAGCAGGCAGTGTGCTCCACTGCCCCCTCACGGTCAGACAGTCTTCCTTAACACCTGGCCGGAAGCCCTTCTGGGGCTGCGGTTACTTCAGCCCTGCTTCCTGTAACCCTCCTCTCCTCGGGTCACCTCCTCCAGGAAGTCTTCGTTCCCTTTCTTAGCCCACCAGAGCCCAGAGGAGCCTAAGGGAGCAGTGAGGCTTTGGACCCACAGATTCCCTGTTCCCAGACAGCCAGTGCACTGGTCTTGGTTCTTGGCTCTTTTTAAACTTTACTGTACATGTCTGGGTGTTTCGTGTGCATGTGTGTCTGTGTGCCACGTGTGTGCCTTGTCCCTGCGGAGGCCAGGAGAGTGTTGGATTCCCTAGGACTGTAGTTACAGATGGTTGTGGGTGCTGGGAATTGAACCTGGGTCCTGTGGAAGAGCAGTCGAGGGCTCTTAACCACTGAGCCATCTCTCCAGTCCCTCCCCAGCACTGTGTGGGAGGGGCACTGGGACCCCCCCCCCCCCATATCTCAGAGTGTAGAGGGATACAGAGTAGCTACGTGATGACATTCTGTAAGGCTTGAATGAGTGCCTCATGGTAAGGGTAAGGCTGGGACAGATGGATGAAGGAATGTGTGCCTCTGTGTAGCACTGGTGTGCAGAAGAGAGATGGGACAGACCTGGGGGCCTCTGGGCTAACTGACGACTTTGAGCCTTGGCATTCTTGGTTCTGGCCTCTTTTCTGCCAACTGACTGAGCTGACTCCCCAAACTGGTTTCTGACCTGCGTGGTCAGAAGTGACTCAGCACTCTGTCTCCACAGGACCCCAACAAGACCATCTTTCCAGACGAGCGAGAAGTCAGCATCACACCATTGCCGTCCCTTACCTCCAGGAAGCAGATCCTTGACTGGGCAGCCAAAAGGAGCGCCATCACCTCGGTGGCCGCACTGGATAACCCCAAAAGCATTGTCCTCCAGCTGGGCCAAGGTCAGCTTCCTTACTTGCCTCTGGGTTCAAGTTCAGTTGCAGAAACTGAGCAAACTCTGGACTGGGCTACTACCAGCCCATGGTGGCACGTGATTTGCCCCAAGTCACCATGGCTGGACGATGCCCTTTGCAGCCAGTGACTGCTTCTTCATCAAGTATCAGATGAGAAATGCTAGATTTTTTTCTTTACCTTGAAAATCCCAGCACAAGGGGCTAGAGATGTGGCGCAGTTGGCAGAGTGCTTGCCTGGCATTAACCCTGGATTCCATCTCCTGGATACATACAGACAGATCACGGTGGCACAGACCTGGAATCCCAGCACTAGGGGGGTGGGGTCAGGAGAATAAGGTATTCAAGGTCATCCTCTGCAACATAGCAATCTCAAGGCTAGCCTGGGCTACATGAGACTGTGTCTTTAAGAGAGGAGTGCTGGGGAGAGGCTCAGAGTGTAATGATTGCCACACAAGCACGAGCACTGATGTGTAAAGCTGTCTTGGTGATATACACACATAACCCCAAAGCTGGGGAGGCAGAGACAGGAGGATCCCGGGGCCTTGCTGGCCAGTCAGTTCGGCTGACTCCAGGAGCTCCAGGTTCAGCGAGAGACTGGGACTCAAAAGAATAATATGGAGAACAACTGAGGAAGGCACCTGGCATGTGCTGATGTGCCGGGTGGGGGTGAGGGGACCACAGCCTTGGCATGTGCCACAGGCTCACTCGCCATGTTAATCCTGTGTTGACAACGAGAAAACCAAGGCTGGGCACTCAGCAGGGGGCTCCTCTGTCTCCCACCTGTGAGGCTCTGACCTGAATGTCCCCACCGCGGCCTTGGGTTGAAGGCGGGGTGCGGCCCTCTGACATGCTCATCTCCACAGCCTCAAGTGCACCACCCTACTGCTTGGCAGAAGCCAATCATGACATGGGCCTCACACTGGAATGGCAGCCTTGGGACTCCCAAGTCCAAGGCTGCAGCTTTGAAGAGGAGAGCAGGCACCGCCACAAGGAGGCGTATATCCTGAGGATCCTGCCAGGTTCCGCCGCCGCCGCCGCCAGGTAAGGGGGCTGGCCTCCTGGGGCAGGGCCCTCCCCAGTCAATCAGCTCCTAACCTCCTGGCATAGCAGTGGTTTCCTGTTGTTGTGAAGAAACATTGTGGCCAAGGCAATGTGGAGAGTTTATTTGGGCTTGGGGTTCTAAAGGGTCAGAGTTCACGACGGCAGAATGGGGGTCACAGGCAGCGGACAGATGAAAGGCACATCTGGAACCACAAACAGGAGGCAGAGAGCTCACACAAAGCCCACCCCTAGTGTCCTATGTGCTCCAGCAAGGCCCACCTCCTACGCCTTCCCAAACAGCATCAGCAGCTACGGACCAAGCATTCAAATACCAGAGACTTATACACGACATCTCATTCCAGCCAGCACACCAGGTCTGTCCCCACACTCGAGCCCACACTGACCCAAGTCCTTTCTGTACCTGCTGCAGGCCCCGCACAGTGACCGTGAATGTGGAGCTGAGCTGTGCATCTGGGGATCCCGACGCCATTCTCATCCTGCAGGGCCCTCCGTATGTGTCCTGGCTCATCAATGCCAACCACAACATGCAGTTCTGGGTGAGTGAGCCTTGCACCTCACCCTCAGCCTAAGACCTTGCACGCCGGCGTCATTCCATCTCAACTTTCTATTTTTCTTTTTTCGTTTTTCGAGACAGGGTTTCTCTGGGTAGCCTTGGCTGTCCTGGAACTCTGTAGACCAGGTTAGACTCAAACTCACAGATATCCAATTATCTCTGCCTCCCAAGTGCTGGGAATAAAGGCGTGCGCCACCATCACCTGGCCCACCCCACTTTTCCTACCTTGTCTACTACCTGTTTTCCTTCCATTGTTAACTTAGAGACCACTTCCTCCAGGAAGCTTTCCTGAGGGGCCAGGGAGTCCCTTAGCCTAGCCTGCTGGGTCAAGGAAGACTCCTGGAGAGACAACTCTGGGCTGGGTTAGAGGACAAAGGGAAAGGGGGGGAGGAGGGGGAGGGTGGCCAGGCAGGGGCAAAGGGAAGGAGTCACCACAGCTGATGGCCTCTGCTGTCCTTTTCTGCCTTCAGACCACAGGTGAATACTCCATCAAGATCTTTCCAGAAAAGACCATCAAAGGCTTCGTGCTCCCAGACACACCCCAAGGCCTGATAGGGGAAGCCCGCAAGCTCAACGCCAGCAAAATAGCCTCCTTTGCAGAGGTCTCCCTGGCCAGCGAAGTCTCCCTGAGGGCCTCCAGCTGTGGTGAGCCCCAGCCCTGTGATCCCGCCCTCCCTCTGCGGCTCCCCTGGGGTCAGGCAGTACTGTTCTTTGAGTTGGGCCAGCTTCTCTGAGCCTCTCTGGCCTCATCTGCCACAATGGGTAGTTAGCCCATAGTGAGCGCTCAGTGATCACCCACGCCACCCACCTCTGGCCCCACAGGTGGTGTGCCACAGACCACACCTGCGCCAGTTCTGACCACACCTCCCAAGGACAGTTGCAACCCTGGGCTACTCATGTCCCTGATCCAACCAAAGTGTGGCAATGACGTCATGACTCTGACACTCAGTAAAAAACATGTGCAGGTAAGTCAATCCCTGCCCCTTCTTCTTGGGGTGACATGGACTTTGGGGGGGCCTAGCCCAGGCAGTAGGACAAGTCACATCCCTCGGCAAGTCTCAGTTTTCTCATTTGTGAAATGCAGTTTGAGCCTAGCACAGACCCATGCACATGTACTCCCAGAACCCAGGAGACTGAGCCAGGAGGATGGTGAATTCCAGACCAGACTAGGCTACATAGAAGGTCCATAAAGGAAAACAGGAGTTCAAGGACATCCTCAGCTACATGGGGAATTTGATGATAGCCTAGGCTACATGAGCCCCACTCTCAAAACACCAGTAATAATAATGCCAATATTAGGTAGTCATTAATAATCTTAATGCTGGCTGGGCCAAGTGGTCACAGAAATTTTTACCATGTGATCTTTACCTGATTGATAAATACAAAAAGCAGCATGTGGGACTGGGGAGTTGTTCTCCGAGAGAGTGTTTGCTGGGCAAGCATGAGGAGCTGGGTTTGGATCCCCAGAACCTGAATCAAAAACAGCCCTCAGCACTGAGGGCAGAGAAACGAGGGTCCTAGAGACTCTGACCAGCCAGGCTAGCCAAGCAGTGAGGTCCAGGGTTAATAATAGGAGACTGTCCCTGTCTTGCCAGGCTCGGTAGCCATGATTTTAATCCCAGCACTTGGGAGGCAGAGGCAGGCAGACCTCTGTGAATTCAAGGCTAGCCTGGTCTACATGGTGAGTTCCAGGCCAGCCAGGGCTACATAGTGAGACTCTGTTGACGAGGTGAGGGGGGGGGGTTTATCCTGTCTCACCACTGGATGAATCCATTGAGATGGCACAGTGAATAAAACTTGCCACACGGGGGCTGGAGAGATGGCTCAGCAGTTAAGAGCACTGACTGCTCTTCCAGAGGTCCTGAGTTCAATTCCCAGCAACCACATGGTGGTTCACAACCATCTGTAATGAGATCTGGTGCCCTCTTCTGGTGTGCAGACATACATGCAGGCAGAACACTGTATACACAATAAATAAATAAATCTTAAAAAAAAAAAAAAAAAAAAACTTGCCACACAAGCCTAACCTGAGCTCAATCCCTGGAACCCACATAAAGGTGGAAAGAAAGGACCAATTCCACCAAGTTGGATGTCACACACTCAATAATAATAATTTAATTCAAAAAACATAAGTGAAGCACAGCAGTGGAAGATGCCTGATGCCTGATTTCAAACTCTGGCCTCCACACGTGTGCACCTGTGTGCAGGTGTACAAACGATGGGTAGACCACACACACACACACACACACACACACTATGACTTTCACTATGTATTCCTGATTGGCCTGGAACTCACTCTGTAGGCTGGCCTCAAACTCACAGATACCCACTGCCTGTCTTCTGGGTGCTGGGATTCAAGGTCTGTGTCACAAGTGCTGGCATAGAATGGAGAAAATCTTCCTTTTCCCTCCTGATGACAGCAGCTGCCGACATTGACCTGTCCTTCCTTCCTTCCTTCCTTCCTTCCTTCCTTCCTTCCTTCCTTCCTTCCTTCTCTCTCTCTTTCTTTCTTTTCTATTCTTTGGTATTTTTTTGTTGTTGTTTTCCCTAGACAGGGTCTCATATAGCCCAGGCTAGCCTTGAGCTCTCTACCTACCCATAGGTGACCTTGAACTTCTGATCCTCCTGCCTGCACCTTGTCCTGTGGGTTGCTTAGAAGCCTTTTCTCTGTTTCTTGCACGGGGTAACCATAACAGGTGGCCTCTACACTATGATTCTGATCTTTTTACAACTTTGAATGCTGTCCTTAATGCCACAGTATCAGCTACGCTAGTGACCTGCTGTCCCGGATTCCTCCCCAGGTGCTCAGCAGTAGGCTGCATCCACTTCTGCAATGTTGTAAACATGCTCAGGGGGTCCCCATGAGTAAAGCTGTGTGCAGATAGTTTTTCAGGGAGGTTTCCGGAACACAATTAAATCTTCAGAGCATTTTTTTTTAAAGATTTATTTATTTATTTTATGTATGAGTGCCCTATCATGCATGTACACCTTTATGCCAGATGAGGGCATCAGATCCCACTAGAGATGGTTGTCACCACATGGTTGCTGGGAATTGAACTCAGGATCTCTGAAGGGCAGCCAGTGCTTTTAACCACTGAGCCATCTCTCCAGCCCCTCTTCTTCAGAGTGCTTTAGGAGAGAGCTTTGACCACTTCTCTCTACTTCCACACTGATATCCAGAACAGGGAAAGCCCTCTGCCTGTGTGGGAGGGGAATGTGGGTGCTCAGTTATTGTTCTAATTAAGATTCTTCCTTAGCAGCAAGCTAAGGCCTGGCTTCTTGTAAATAATAATAAGAACCCAACTGTTTCTGGGGCTTGGTGTGTCTCGATTTCTGTATGATTTTTAAAACTTTATTTTTATTTACTTTTAGGCGAAGTCTTGTGTAGCCCAGGTTGTGTAGCTGAAAGTTTTCCAGTGTCCCACCCGGCCCCCGCACAGTCCAGACAAATCTCTTTACCTGCAGTCCTGTAGCTGCTTATAAAATAATCATTCAGAGGCATAATATTATTTAGAAGTGCTCGGCCATTAGCTCAGGCTTATTACTGACTAGCTCTTTCACTTAAATTAACCCATAATTCTTGTCTATGTTTAGCCACATGGCTTGGTACCTTTTCTCAGTTCTGCCTTGTCATCTTGCTTCCTGTGTCTGGCTGGTGACTCCTGACTCAGCCTTCCTCTTCCCAGAATCCTCCTCACCTGCTCACCCCGCCTATACTTCCTGCCTGGCTACTGGCCAATCAGCCTTTTATTAAACCAGTGTACAAGGGGTTATTCCACGCAGGGTTGGCCTTGAGCTTGCTGTGTAGCCTGGAGCTGAGGATAACCTTGAACTTGTGGTCCTCCTGACCTCACTCCAGTGTGCTAGGATTATATGCATGTGACACTGTGCCAGGTCATTCTCCCTTTGGGTTTAGTTTTCTGCATTTTGGTTCCATTTTCTCCCCACCTCCATCCACCTCCCATTGCTGGGGGTGGAACCCACCTGGGGCCATGAAATGGTCTCAAGTCTGTGTTCTAGCTGAGCTGTGTCCGCAGCCCCAGACAATGGGTTTGACATACTTTTGTTTTGGGAGTCAGCATTTGACTTTGAATCCGTGTTGGTGTGGAACTTCATATGTGGACCAGACTGGCTTTGAACTCAACAGAAATCTGCCTGCCTCTATCTTCTAAGGATTAAGATTAAAGACTCACAGACAGGGTTGAGGATTTAGCTTAGGGATAGAGTGCTTGCCTAGCAAGCACATGGTCCTAGGTTGGTCTTCAGCTACCAGGGTTGGGGAGCAGGGATGGATAACAAAAAAGATCCCCCCCCCAAAAAAAAATCCAAGGTAATGGGCACACACAACCTTTGCTGAGTAGTGGTGGCGAATGCCCTTAATCCCAGCACTCAGGATGCAGAGGCAGTTGAATCTTTGTGAGTTTGAAGCCAGCCTGGTCTACAGAGGGAGATCCAAGACAGTCAAGACTATACAAAGAAACTCTATCTCAAAAACAAAACAAAAAAACCCAACCAAATAAACAAACAAAACCCACAACAATAACAAAAAGATGGGCTGGAGAGATGGCTCAGTGGTTAAGAGCACTGACTGCTCTTCCAGAGGTCCTGAGTTCAATTCCCAGCACCCACATGGCAGCTAACAACTGTCTGTAACTCCAAGATCTGACACTCTCACACACACATACATGCAGGCAAAACAATAGTGTATATAAAAGAATAATAAATAAAAATAAAAAAATAAAAAATAAAAAAAACAATAAGATTAAAGACATACACAATCATGCCCCAGCTTCTTTTAATTTTTTTTTTTTTTTTTTTTTTTTTTTTTTTTAAAATTTAAAATTTAAAATTTAAAATTTGTGCCATGGAGCTGCAACACGGTAAAGGGGTTATCAGGTCTAACGGGGTTTTTTTTTTTTGGGTTTT